GTCTGTAAGTGGCTCAGGCCTCCTTCCTCACACAACCAAACTCTAACTGCACGACCTCTCATGGCCCAGAAGACTGGGAGGCCACCTGAACATTTATCGGTGCTTCCTTCTGTCCAACTTTAAAATATCATGACATTTTAAAGTTACGAATTTGTTTTAAATTCAAATATATTTCTTATGACTGGTTTTCTCCTTCATTCAGAAATTTACACTATTTAAAAATTTTAAATGGTAGCAACAGTATATTTCTACCAGTACTGCTTCCCTTTTTTTTTTTTTTTCCTTTGAGCACTTAATTGGTCTGTCTTTGACACCCTACTAAGAGCTCATGTTTGAATTGGGAAGAATTATGATGATGCTTTCATACAGCGGATGGTGCTTTGTGCAGGTCCTTTCCTCAACCTGACCTTAATTTCATGATTTTAATAAAGAAAAAAAGATAGAAAAACCTAATTCAAAGTAAATTAGGATCTATAATTCAGAAATGCTTCTGCCCGTTTGTAACTAATGTTCCAGTTGCTCTCCACTTCACTTTCCACTCTTTAGTTCATTCACTTTTTAAAAAATAGTAAATCAGCAATAAACTGTCTTTCAACAGAAAGCAGGACAATAAGACAAAGGCTTGAGTGCACATCCTCTGTGCTGGACTGTAATCCAGGGAGCGAGAGTGAGGGCCAGGGAAAGTGAAGCCGGGAAGCAGAAGAGCTTATACCAAGATACTTGATGTGTTTAACAGGTTGCTCTGTCCTGCAGAACCGCCAGAAACAGAAACAGAAATCCTGGAGTGGGGAGAGGATGGCCCTGGGCAAGGCTCTATTAGGTTGCACCTGCAAGAAGCCAGCCAGAGGCAACTGGCGGCTAGAAAAAGATGCGGCGAGGCCAGATGAATCTGAAGTCATAACAAGTGGCTTCCCATAAAACACAAAGATATTCTTGTTGCATATAGTAGGTCCCCTACATACGAAACTTCAAGTTGTGAACCTTCCGAGATGCGAACGTGCGTTCCATCAACGTCAGGCATGAGTTAAATTGCAGCTTACCCTCCGTCTCCTATTGCTGATGATCCTACCATCTCCCACCTCCTCTCCCTCCTCCAGTCAGTAACTCTTCTTGCCTGTTCACTCAATGCCAGTCCCTGTATGCCAGCTGTTGTACTGTACTACCATACTTTTCAAGGTACTGTACTGTAAGATTAAAATGTTTTATTTTTTGTGTTTGCTCGTTTTTTATGTATTATTTGTATGAAAAGTATTGTAAACCTATTATTACAGTACAGTACTATATAGCCGATTGTGTTAGTTGGGTACCTAAGCTAACTTTGTTGGACTTAACGAACAAATTGGACTTACGAATGCGTTCTCGGAATGGAACTCGTTCGTAAGTAGGGGACTTACGGTACTTCCGTGCACTTTTGCCCCCCACTCCCATCCTTCTCATGGGTATCTGTCATTAACATTTCATTTCCTATGCATTTATGTATCATATGAGAACATGTATCTTTTTCCTTTTAAGAAACATGAATCAGGGCTTCCCTGGTGGTGCAGTGGTTGAGAGTCCGCCTGCCGATGCAGGGGACACGGGTTCGTGCCCCGGTCCAGGAAGATCCCACGTGCCGTGGAGCGGCTGGGCCCGTGAGCCATGGCCGCTGGGCCTGCGTGTCCGGAGCCTGTGCCCCACAACAGGAGAGGCCACAACAGTGAGAGGCCCGCGTACTGCAAAAAAAAAAGAAACATGAATCAGGTCATACTAATCTTATTCTATGACATATTTTTTTCACTCATGTGTTATTAGCATCACGGTTAGGTTTTATCTCATTGTCAGCAAGCTTATTTTGCCCTTAGGAGGTTCATTGGAAAACACTGATTTAACATTTGTTGAATTAATGTGTGAATGAAGGAATGATAGTATGAGTTCTAGTTATAGTTCTTGCTTATAGAAAGGAATGCTGCCAGTATTGGGAATGCAGTGGGCAAGGTCTTGTAAAACATGGAATTTTTATTGCCAGACAGTTGAACAGTCATCCCAGCCTCTTCTTCCTCATTCGTCAACACCTCCACATCTTCAATTCAGAGGAAAGAACGGATGCCATACAGGGGAGACATGGAAAAGAGATGTAGGGGTAGAAAAATAATCTTCCCTCTACCTTTCTAAGTTCTCCGCTGAGACCCCTGTAATGAAAAACAGATTAATAAGAGAAAAACAAACAAATTTATTAATGTATCCCTCAGGTATACACGGGAGATACCCAGGGAAAAAATGAATCCCCAAGGTGACTTAGAATTCGGGATTAAATAACATCTCAATAGGGAAGGGGAGGGGAGTGTAGGTCTCTTAGGGGAGAGTGAATGATTTTTAGGTCAGATGAATGGCCCCTTAGAAGAATAGATGGGAGTTGTGACAGTCTGTGACAGTGTCTGTCTAGGCGTGGTATTGACTTCTAGTCTCTCCTGTGACAAGAGTCCATCCTCTCTGGTTGACGGAACTCCCAGGAAGGGGATTTATGGCAGTTGAGTTCCTTTGGGAGGATCTGTCCGTAGGCAGATAAGGGGAGTTCAGAGAAAGCCTCTCCCTGCATTTGCTGTTTTTCACGTGCCTACAGTCAAGATAATCAATATACCAAAGCAGCATATTTTGCAGTAGCACGTCCTTCTCCAGTCATGTTTTGGAGTAGCATATTCTGCTACCCTTCAGAGATAACAGGAGACTCTTACAAAGGTTCATTCAGTCAGCAAATGGGGATAAGATGGTGCAGACATTGGTCCCTATCCTCATGCAGGGCAAGGCGACAACTGAGGGAGGAAGGAAATAAGAATAGGACGAAGATGTAGAAGGAAAAGAAAATAGTAGTGTTCCAAAGGAGTGAGGAATTTCAGTGATGGCTAAATTAGTACAGTGCTTGTGTTAATATAAGTTGTTTAGAAATGAGTTTAAATCCCAGCCATCTGCTCCCACATCAAACACACACACGCAGTACCCCTGATTTCACTCCTCCCCCACATACACGTACATCCCAGTAATAATCTGGTGATATATTTTTCATGCCACAGTTGATAATAAAAAATACACTTAATTCAAACCAGTGAGTTATGACCCAGATCTAAGTATAAATATAGTGGAAGTCATAAGTTTCTTTAGTGACAGTCTTACTAATTATTTTGGCCTGTTTTTAGCCACATTGGATATTTTTTCTTTTTAAGGTTGCTATGAATGTTGTTTGCAGCAGCATCAATAAGCCAAGAATTCATATAGTTACTCAATCACACAGATTACTCATCATTGCCTGTTCATAACAGAATCCTAAAATGTTTAAGATTTCTGATGCAAATCAAAATCTCATCATCACTTGTCATTGCTAAATTAAATGACAGGATAATAACATTACATTAAAACCATTTTTCTCTTGATTGAGTACCTTTTTCAGAAGTGAACCTTGTAGATGTATATTTTTTTCATCAGTACTATAAATGCATTTAGAATCCAAGATAAAAATAGAATTGAAAAGGGGAGGAGTAGAGTGGGATGTTTTCAAATTATTGATGAGTCTCTTTTGAATCTCAAATAACCATATTTGACAGGGCACTGCTAGGGAATGGAGTAGTTTTGGCCCAATTTATTGAGACTTTTAGAAATACATAAAGGAGGTTCATAGGTCAAACTTCGTTTTTATTGACACGATCATGTGTTCTTGGCATCAGTCATATGTCATTCCATTGCAGACAGGCTGTTTTCAGTTAGATCACAGCCTAGGTGGGAAATGAATGTAAATTTCTAATCTGCTAAAACAGAGTAGGTTCTCAGTTATTGTGAACTTCTCTCTTGGTCTTTCTTTCCTGTCTAAAGCTAATTAACCTTTGGGGCACAATTGCCATCTCTCCATTGGCTCCGTCTGGCCCTTGGCCCTCTTTGTGGCCAGTCAACCAGTCCTCATGCCACTTGAGCCGATCTTCTCCACTTGCCCCTATACCCAGAGCTCCTTTTCCATTTAAAGTCATCTGTTCTTCAAAGATTTTGTTTCCTCGCATCTTCCACCTTCAGTGTTATGAAAATCATATCCTGGAGCAAGTCTTTTACGCTTTTTGCCTCGTTTAATATTATCTTCATTAGACAGTAACGTCAGTAAAAATCCTTAGCACTTGGAGAAGTCAGTGAAGGTATAGACTGAAACAGGATTGGCTATGAGTTGACAATAATTGAATCTGGGTGATGGGTACATGGGGATAGGGGAAGTCAATATAACATTTCCTCTAGTTTTATATGTTTGGAATTTTCCATAGTAAAAATTTTAAACTAAACTTAGATCTTTAGAATGCTTTTATATATATATAAAATATATATATGTATGCTCTTTTTGAGTCAGTGCATGAAATGGGTGGTATACAGGATGGACTAGGACCAAAACCTAATCCTGCCATCTAAATACCCCACCCCCACCCCACCCCCAAGGAAACAAATAAGATTCTTTAGTGCCCGGCATTGCAACTTCCCTCTTCTCCTTAGGTCCTGAACAGGACTACCAGAATCCTGACACACTTCCTGCTTCTTGTAAATGACCAGATAAACCTGTACAGAAATGCACAATAACTTGGTCCCATTTATTAAGTCCCACCGTGAATAAAGTTCTTTGCTGGGCATTGGGAAGGGGGAATATGAAGTTACTTCCCTCCAAGAGTTCCCCAAGATGGAAAACAGAGGCACCCGTGAACAACCCTGATGCAGTACAGACTCTAAGAGCCGTCATGTGAAGTAGAGCTACAGCAGTATGACTGTGGGGCAGTGGGGGAGAGAAGAGCTTTGTCAAGCAGACACGTTCTTGACAGTGATGTGAACTACTGAATGTTATCTTCAAGGAAAAGGTAATCTTTCCTGCTTCTGCTTGCAGTTCTGGCTGCTAAGACTAGAGCTCCATCAGTAAACTTCCCTCTGTCTTCTGAAGAGCTTAAACTGATTGCAGTTTCCAATGTGCTTTTTTTTTTTCTCCTTCTCTTTTAAAATTATGATAGCCTTACTTCTCGTCTGCCAAAAACTGGTGAAACCATCCATGGTCATAAGTTTTTTATTGGCTTTGGAGGGAAAGGTGCCAACCAGTGTGTCCAAGCAGCTAGGCTTGGAGCAAAGACATCTATGGTGTGCAAGGTAAGTGTAAAGTATGGTGGAGAGGGTTCTAGAGGCGAGAACCCGGTTTAAGACATGAGCTCATTTTTTTTAACGATTTTAAAGTGAACAATTTAGTGGCATTTAGTACATTCACAGTGTTGTACAACCACCATTTCTATCTAGTTCCAGAACATTTCCATCATTCCAAAGTAAAAACTCCTTGCCCATTAAGCAGTTTCTCCCCATTCCCCCCTCCCCTCAGCCCCTGGCAACCACCAATCTGCCTTCTGTCTCTACGGGTTTATCTATTCTGGATATTTCCTATAAATGGAATTATATGATATGTGACATTTTGTGCCTGGCTTTTTTCACTTAGCATAATGTTTTCAAGGTTCATCTACCTTATAGCATGTATTAGTACTTTATTCCTTTTGTGGCTGAATAATATTCCATTGTATATACCACAATTTCTTTATCCATTTATGTGCTGATGGGCTGTTCCCACCTTTTGGCTGTTGTGAACAGTGCTACTATAAACAAGTACATGTACATGCATGTTTAAGTATCTGTATGAGTCTTTGAGAGGTTCGTGGTTTTTTTAATTTATTTATTTTTGGCTGTATTGGGTCTTCATCGCTGCACGCAGGCTTTCTCTAGTTGCAGCGAGCGGGGGCTACTCTTCGTTGCGGTGCACAGGCTCTAGGCACGCGGGCTTCAGTAGTTGTGGCTCGCGGGCTCTAGAGCACAGGCTCAGTAGTTGTGGTGCACGGGCTTAGTTGCTCCACGGCATGTGGGATATTCCCAGACTAGGGATCGAACCCGTGTCCCCTGCATCGGCAGGCAGATTCTTAACCACTGCGCCACCAGGGAAGCCCAGGTTTGTTGTTTTTAAAGATTTAAATAGGAGAGAGTAATCTTCCTTGTCCTTCATATTAGTTTCTACCTCACTGAATCCTCTGGGAAGTAGCAGTCCTCAAATAACTTAATGCTGCATTCCCTGAATTTAATGAGTTTATAACTGGAGTGTAAGAAGTGAGGGGAATTAGCCTACTCCAGTGGTTTTCTGTGGTCCAGCTTCTAAGCATAAATCATCCTGTTTTTAGCAGGTTTCACTCCAGTAACACAGCTCTTGGAAACCTGGTCTAATAACTGATGTTATTATAACTCATCTCTAAGCTATTTTCTTCTAATGCTGTATCTTGGATCAGAAAGGAATCTGGGGGACTTCCCTGGTGGTGCAGTGGTTAAGAATCCACCTGCCAATGCAGGAGACACAGGTTCCGTCCCTGGTCCGGGAAGATCCCACATGCCGTGGAGCAACAAAGCCCGTGCACCACAACTGCTGAGCCCACACACCATAGAGCCCATGAGCCGCAACTACTGAGCCCGCATGCCTTCTGTTCCTCTCACATCCACTCCCATGGTTTCATGATTCATTTCCCAAGTTCAGTTTCACAATTCAAATATTTCTATTTTGCATTTTGGGAAATGTTCGAGTAAGGAGGCTGGTTAAACAGAGGTGCTATTTGTTTTATTCTGGTCTGTGTATGATGGTTATGTGAGCACCTGTACAATTTTGAAAGTTCTTTATATCTACTGTGACTGATTTAGTCGTCTGTTGTTTAGCCCCACAGTGGAATTTAGCCTGGGTGTCTGTACAGAAAGGACATGGAAACATGGCTTCAGCTAAAACCTATACAAGGTTACTTTGCTTAGATACCCTGGGACCTTTAGACATGGATTTATTTAAGCTTAAACAGATTGCATCGTATTCTTAGACTTCTTAAAAAGAAAAAATATCTTTTATAATAAGAGTTATTGTTATCCATTAATCATAATATTTCATTCAATTATGAAGTATATTTTTATTTAGCAAATTAGCCAAACTGCCTTATAGTAGGTTTCTTAAAGATAACAAATTCCAAGTAGAAAACCAAAATCATGAAATTACTCAAGCTAAAAATGAACAGATGGAGCAAAAGAAAAACAGGTAGAAAATTTTCTTAGCAGCCTTAACTTACTACTGCCCTGCAACAAGCTCAGATTCAAGCTCTGATGGAGGAGCACTGGCACAGGCACAACATCTGATACTGAGCTAAGGGGAAATATTTGTCAGGACATTGTGATGAAGGCTATTAAGCAAGAATCCCTCAAGATGCGTACAGTGACACGTGTTAATGAAACACTTCAAGTAGTTAAGAGTTGTGTAGTCAGTACTCAACTGAGTCACGGGCCAAGGCCACAGTCCGAGGATCATGAGGAGCCCCACCCTCCCTATCCCACCCCTCTAGGTGGTCACAAAGCACCGAGCTCATCTCCCTGTGCTATGCGGCTGCTTCCCACTAGCTATCTGTTTTACATTTGGTAGTGTATATATGTCAATGCTACTCTCTCACTTCGTAAAGGACTTTTTAAATAGGACTCAGATCTCCATTGCTTTTTGTCCCCGTTTCAATACAATAAATTTTGTAAGCCTGGGCATAGATATGCTCCCAGTTGGCTATATTGTTCTTATGAAAGGAATAAGATACATG